CACGCAAAAGGAGCTCAACATGCGTCAGCGACGTTGGTTGGAGCTTGTTAAAGATTATGACTGCACGATTCAGTATCATCCGGGGAAAGCAAATGTTGTAGTTGATGCCCTGAGTCGAAAGGTAAATGGCGAATTATCTTGTTCTATTACCCAGCAGCGTCATCTTGTTCGAGACTTTGCCCGGATACAGATTCAGGTCGTCGAGTCACTTCCTGCAGTGATTACAGGGAATGTTAGCTTGATGCAAATTCAGCCCACGTTGGGGGACAGAATCCAGCGGGAACAGGCTCATGACCAGTTTATTCGTGCTATTGAGGCCAAGTTTTACGCCGGAGGAGTCGAGGGTTTTTCTCGAGGCGCAGATGGCACCTTAGAGTTACGAGGCAGGATCAAAGTGCCGAAGGTCGAGGCTTTGCAGAAGGAGATCTTGACAGAGGCACACACCGCGCCTTATCTAGCTCACCTCGGCAGCACAAAGATGTATCATGACCTGAAAGGGTCTTTCTGGTGGAGGGGAATGAAGAAAGATGTTGCCAGTTTTGTAAAGAAGTGTTTGGTCTGTCAGCAAGTTAAGGCCAAACACAAGAGTCCTTTAGGCCTTCTACGACCACTCGAGATTCTGAAGTGGAAGTGGGAGGAGATTGCAATGGATTTTGTTACAGGGGTACCCAAGTCGTCCAAGCGCCACGACGCGATTTGGGTAGTAGTGGACAAATTGACGAAAGTTGCACATTTTCTACCTGTATCGGTGACCATGTCGATGGAGAAGTTAGTCGAGATTTATACCTGTGGGATCGTTCGACTCCACGGAGTGCCCGTTCATATTGTGTCAGATCGAGATTCCAGATTCACTAGTAGATTCTGGAAGAGTTTACACGAGGCGATGGGCACGCAGTTGTAGTTCAGTGCAGCTTACCATCCAGAGACAGACGGTCAGGCAGAAAGGACTATTCAGACGCTCGAGGATATGCTCAGAGTGTTGGTTTTAGACATGGGTGCTAAGTGGGAGTCGATTTTACCATTAGTCGAGTTCGCCTATAACAACAGTTATCAAGCATCGATCCAGATGGCTCCTTTCGAGGCACTTTACGGGCGTAAATTCCGCTCGCCCCTTTATTGGGACGATGTTGGCGAACGTCGAGTACTCGGTCCGAAAATGATCGAGGAGACAGCTGAGCAACTCGAGCTTATCAGGC